TAGTGCTAAGATGTGTTTCCTGAAGGCAGCATATTGTTGGATCTTGCTTTTTAATCCATCCTGTTGGCAGATGAATTTTGAGGGGGCACAAATATGCAGTCCATAACAACCCCCCCCTCCGTCTAGATGCTGCTAGGAGTGACAGACAGTTAGAGGCAGCTGGACCGATGGACGGACAGGTAAGAGTCTCCTCCTCTACCCTGCCCCCAGAAATCCCCCGTGTCGCACCCCCATTTCATAGTCTCCCTTCCTTCCTCAGGCCTCTGAAGCTAGAGACCCACAGGATGTCACCTATTCCCAGGTGACCTCCAGTGTCTCCACCCAGGGGACAGCTGCCACACCCTCCTTGTTGCCCAGACAGACCCAGACCAGTGAGTATGCAACACTTGCCCTGAGATAAGCCACATGCCGGTGCCTGCATTTCACGGGCAGGAGGACTTACAGCTGCCCATTGGGAGGTCCCTCCTCTGGACTCACTGATCCTAAATCTGAGGCCGTCAGCCTGGCTGAGGGGACCCATGTGACTCAGAAGTCCCCGCTGCCCCCCTGAATCTCAAGACCTCAAGATTATCACCCAATCAGTTCCAGAATCTCTACTGTAATTGCCCAGCAATTCCCAAAACCCTCCAAAGTTATCAGAAGAATGATAGGGTAATTTTTCATAACTTCTCATTATTCATCAATTAAACAAATATACTTAAATCCTCTTGGTGCCAGGTTTTATGTTACAGCCTAGAGGCATAGAAAAGATCCTTAAACCATCCCTCTTGTCTAGCGTAGATGTGGGCCAAATCTGGCAAGCCACCTGTTCTTGTACAGCCCAACATTTTCCATTTTTACACTCTTTTACTTTTTCTTGCTTTATTTTATGGTAAAATACACATAACATAAAATTTACCGTCTTAGCCATTTTTAAGTGTAAAGTTCCATGGCGTGAAGTACATTCACACTGTTATACAACCGTCACCACCATTGCATTTTATATCGTTGGGAAAATCAAAAGAAGAATAACATTTTAAGAGCTTTATTGAGGTTAATTGATATGCAAAGAACTATATATATTTAATGTGTACAATTTGATGAGATTGAACATATACAAACACTGTGGTACCATCACCACAATCAAGGTAACAGACATATCCATATTCATGAAGCCCAAAGGACCCCAAATAGGTTGAAAGCATACAAAAAAGAATTATATTTTCTGACATGTGAAAATTATATGAAATTCAAATTTCAGTGTCCATAAGTAAAGGTTTGTTGGAATACAGCCACGTATGTTCATTTGCGTACTACCTGTGGCTGCTTTCACACTATATTGGCCGAGTTATAGAGATGCAACAGAGACCAGATGGCTCTCAAAGCCTAAGATATTTACTATTTCGTCCTTGACAGAAAACATTTGCCAACCCCTGGTCTAGTGCAATAGTTCCCAAAATTTAGTTTGAATGAGAACTGTTGGGGGAAAGATGGAGAAGCGAGGTTAAAGATTGATTCCATGGCTTCTTCACCCAGCCAAGGACAGTACTCAGGAAACTGTATTATTTATAAAATCCCATTATTTCTAATTCAGACAATTAAGAGACCACAACTTAAGAGATATGTCTCTAGTGCTGTGATTTTCAATCTTGGTTGCATATTTAAATCTACTAAAGAATTTTTTAAATCCTGGAAACCAAGATTCCCCACCACCACTACCACCATTTTGATTGATAAGAATCTCTTGGAATGGGACCACAGCAGGAACATTTCTTAAGGCTTCCCAGGTTATTCTGATGTGCAGCCAAGGTTGAGAACCAGTGATGTGCAGAAGTCAGCAAACCGCTGATAGGTAAATGAATGGTTGGTGTGACTATGTTCCAATAAAACTTTATTTACAGAAACAGGAGACTGACCCTCAGCCTGTGGTTTTGCTGACCTTACACCAGACCAGAGATTGGCAAACCACACTCCAAGGGCCAAATCTGGCCCATCGCCTGTTTTTTATAAATAAAGCTTTATTAGAACACAGCCATGCTCATTTCCATATTGTCCATGGCTGCTTCTGCACTCCAGTGGCAAAGCTGAGTCTTTGAGACAGGAACTGTGGTTCACAAAGCCTGAGATATTTACTATCTGGCCCTTTACGAAAACGTTGCCAACCCCTGGTCTAGTGGGTGAAGAAAGTTAGGTAGACAGAATATTCTGTAACAATGCAGTTGGTCAAGTTATCTGGAAGCAATAACTAATGGCACACAGGGAATTAACCAGATGAACGGAAACCAGCCATCGAGGTCATAGCAAAGGATCCATGGGCATAAGATGCATCCAGGAGAAGATGCAATCCCAGAGTTCAAAACAGTATTATTAGCTATAGTCATCATCATGTACACCTTAAATATATATGATTTTTATTTAAAAATAAAATTAAAAAGTGCACCATCTCTTTCAACAAAAAGACACTGTAAATAAATATCACCCCCTGTGTTAGGAACCACAAACCTCTGGCTTGGATTGAGAACCAAGTGGAGGAGAAACATGAAAAGAGATAAGACGGTTGGGAATCCACTGAGGCCAGATTCAAACGAGTCTTGAAAATCATGTTAAGTCTGGATTTTATAGAAAAGGGAGTGGGAATCAAGGAGGAGTTTTGAATGGAGCACTGACAGGATCAGGACTGTGTCTGAGAAAGATCTCCCTGGAGGCCACTGTGGAGACTGGACTGAAAGGGAGGAAACTGAGGAAAAGAGAGTCCTTCTGCACACTAGTGAAAGAGTCCCCAACAGAGAAGGTCAGATCTGAGTCAGTAAGGTCATGGGCATGGAAGGAAGGAGCAGATTTTAGAGCTACGCAGAAGGTAACAACACAGAGCCTGGGTTGCCTGACTAGCTGCTGTGGTTGAGTCAGAGGAAGAAGCTGGCAGAAGCGTCATTTGGCGCAGAATTTCTAGAAGGCAGTTTGCCACATGTCTCAAAATATAAGATGTGGGTCACGTTTGACTCAACAAACCCATTTCGGAAACTTGACATCAAGAGATGGTTACACAATGTGGAATTCTTTTCTTAGGAATTGTCAGTTCAGTGTCCTTTAAATAGCCATATGAATAATACACACACACACACAAAGACAAAAAATATATATAAAAATAAACTGTGGGAATAATAAAGACAATTATCAATGATAAAGACATGACCAAATGGAAAACTATTGGATGATCTAAATCATATTTCTATTTATGTAATATTTAATATACTGTATATTATACATGCTATATATACTAACATTGTATTATACATACTATAATTATCTATGCATATGATATATTTGTATCTGTGCATATTTATATATTTATATTATGTATAATATATTATACATGTAATATATATTTTATTACTACCTATTATATAATATATTTATACATATGCATGATTTAAATGACTGAACATCTTTCCACTTGGTCATAAACATAATTATGTATATAATTCATGTTCATATACACTATACGTATATATATAATCATGGTCATTTACCTTATATATATAGAGAGAGAGAAAGGAGTGAAAATGTTCAGGATGTAGTTTTAAGGGGAAACAGCAGGACGCAGAAGGGCATGTTCAATGATTACTTCTGGATGGTAGGAAAGAAGGACATTTCTACTTTGTTCTTAGTGCTACTCTCTGCCATTTGAATCGGGAGGATGTAAAATTTCTATCAAAATAAATCTAGTTTAAAATATTCATTGTCTCATTTTTCTGTGTCTAGGAAAATTTCCATAAGAACAGGAAAAAAAATTTTTTGAAGGGTGGCTAACTCGCAGTATCTATAAGAGCCAAAATATTTAGCATTAAAATGATTACTATGTATAATATTACTAAGATGACTTACCTGGTGCCTGTGTGGAAGGGCCTCTGCTTGTAGTGTTTCAGAGCCTGTGCAGGATGCAAGGTCAAATATCTCCTCTTCTGGATTTAAGGTAAAGGGAATGCCCACTTCAGAAAAGTGAGGCTCAGACATGGAACATTTAAGGTTTGGGTAAGAAGAGAGCTCTGCTCTCCAGGAAAATTAAAGTCTGCCAATCCAAACCCGGTTAGAATATCTTTCAATGGGTTGCTACTCTGGTTTCATGTAAGGAATATAAACTTTGAACACTGGACAAGTCGTCTCAATTTCCCTTGTAAATCATGCACTGCTAGGGTAAGAAGCATTTTTATTCTCAAGAGCAAATATTGTCACACATGAGCCACCTACCAATTTCTTTTAAAAGAAAGCATTTTCCCAGGCTCCCAATGTGGACCCACATTGCTCCCTGGTCCTTGGGTATAAGGTGGTCAACCAGATGACCCTAACATACCTATTACCTAGATGATGTGTTGTGTTATCACCAACATGAAAACATAAATAAAAATGTCTCCAAAGTTGAAGATTCCTGAGTTTATGAAACACTGATCTGAAAGCAGAGCCATTGAACATTTCCTTTCAAATTCATTCTTTGTTCCCCTTGTTCTGTTGAGGATACCTCAGTCATCCCAGGCCAATATATCTTTCTCCTGTCATCCCTGAGTAAAGAAGAGTAAACTTACCTGCTTTCCTTCACTTTAGTCTGCCTACTTTTCTTTCAGTAGGACATTTGCCAACATCTCATCTCCTCTGAGGCATGTGGGAAAATGTTTATCTTCAAATAGAAATTGATAATAGTTCCTTTCTTCCATATACTGTTTAAATCCCTTACAATTGGTAAGTCATTTAAAATAATCTTATCCTATGAGGCAGGTGCTATTGTTATCTCCATCTTACAAATAAGGAAACTGAGGCACAGAAGTTAGGTAACTTGACCAAGTTTGCACAGCCCAGAAAGGCTCAGAGGGATGACTGTCCTTGAGTTCTGTGACCTGAACAGCAGCTCTTGGTGGGTTGATTCTCAGGTCTGAGGGCTCATGGCTTATCTCCCTCTTACTAAGGGACTCTTGATATCAAGAGACTCAAGGAAATATCCCCATGCCAGGACACCAACACTTTGGATCCCTTGACCCTCCTCACTTTTAAAGCCAAAGATCACTTTCCTGTCCTTGAGTCTAGACCTAACCAGTATGGTAGCCCCTAGCCACACATGGCTATTGAATACCAGAATTGTGGCTAATCTAAACTGAAACCTGCTGTAAGTGTGAAACACAGACCAGATTTTGAAGCCTTAGTACAAAACGTTGAATGTAAAACATCTGAATTGTTTTTATATTGACTACACCTTGAAATAATATTTTGGCTATATTAGATTCAATACATTGTAAAAGTTAATTTCACCTGGTCCTTTTTACTTGTTTAATGTGGCTATTAGAAAATTTTAAATTACATATGTGGCTTATAGTACACACTTATTACATCATTTTCTTGTATTCAATTTATTGTATAGTACCTTGTTGGTCTAGAGACCCTTGAAGTTTGAGCAGATAGACGGGGGAGATGTAGATTCTGGTATATTGGTTCTAAAACATGAAAACTTCAAAATTCAAAATTTTTAAGTCTAATTTATATGTACAAAAATTAACATGGCCAGTATAAACCCGATGAACCCAGCTCTTGGTGCACCCCTTGTATTTAATGTGCCACTTATATATAATGTGAAATGTAAATTTTAATGTAGCTGGTATTACAGGACGAGGCAGATAATCACAGCTGAAGGTTCTAAGCAGTGGTTCTCAAGTTTGGCTGCAATTACAATCATCTGGGACT